CTGGCTGGGGAATTCTGAGAGTTGAAGTCCACACATCTTAAAATCGCCAAGGTTGAGAAACACTGTTCTAAGCCCTAAATAGTTTATGGCTTCGCTATCTGAGCGACTGCCTCTTCTGTTAAGATCAGCAGGAATAGTTCTTTTGAAAATGTCATTGAAGTCCAGGGTCCGTGTTTTAAGCACACAGGAGAGAACCTTCTCCTGTTTGCTTCTAGGAGATGTTTTACTTCCAAATTGATCAGCACCTAACCACCCAGGTTTGATAACAGAAGGGATTATGATAGTCTGTGATTTTTCTTTTTTAGGATTTATCCTGATATTCAAAGTTGCAGCCAACTTAGGTCCAAGTGAGGGTTTTTCGGTCCTATGCTTGATGTTCTCCCTACTTCTCCTGACATCTGAATGGGAGAAAAAAGATCTAGATGTTAGTAATATGAAAATGTGGCTGGTTACATTTCCAGTATCTGGGTCTGTGTATCTGATTTCTGAGTAAGGTTATTTTTTTCCCAAGGTATATAACTTTTTCTCTCTTGCTTTATTTAAAAAAAAAATCAGCCTTTCATTTGTAATTTGATAGGCAATATAAATATATGCCAACCCTCCCCCCCAAAAAAAATCCAGAAACCAAAACCCACATAAAACCAATAAAACAGTGGAGAAAACTAAAGCTGAATTAAAAATACTTAAAATTGCTAGATTGCTATAACAGCTATAATTAAATACATTATTAAGCGATCACTTCAGAATATTATCTTCAGAGAACAAAAGAGACAGAAAATAATTATACGGTATATATAACCATTTTGGCACGTGTAGAATTTTGCATTTTAATAGACTCTTTTTTTCCCCCCTTCAAGACCAGTATAAGGGAAGGATTGCTCTTGAAGCAAACCAGCTCTTTTCAGAGATGGAAAAGACGCTATTTTAAACTTCGGGGCCGAACACTTTATTATGCCAAGGATTCCAAGGTAAAAATCCACTCAGTTATTAATTAACATGCTTTGCCTGAAATAATAATTGTATTTTGAGGGTTTTAAAAAATCTTGCTAGGATAAGAGCTATAAAATATGATAGCTGTTGTATTTTTTTCTTTGCAAATGTTCTGTTTCCTTCTACTTATAGCCTAACTCTAAGGCACACGGGAAAAGCAAAGGATTGTACAACTGGCTTTTGATTTTGAGAACAAAATATTAGATAGCCTAGATATTGAGACAGATTGGATTTACATCATTCGCATTCATTCCAAACTGATGTTGGGTTAAAATCTATTTTATGCCATGATCTAAAAGGGATCTAGAGAAGGGGCAGGTAAGTTTACTAGGAGGATCACCTGTATCTTCAGGAAGACTTTAGCAAAGCCATGGGTCGTACCCACTTTTAATATCACTGACTGATCTTGCTTGATCTGGTGATGAGACCTTAACACATGTCAAGCTCCTTGCATTTTCCAGAATGCAGGATCTGGTTGGTATCCTTAAATCAGTTCTTGACCACTGCTAGAAAGGACTGTAAGGAAAAGAGGAGAAGACCATTTCTAATCCTCTAAGAGTGAGCATATCTTCATGCCTTATGCCCTAGAGAAATACTGATAGCTTAATAGGAATACATCAATTTACAGAGGACTCAGTTTCTATCTTCACGCTCACCAAATACTTGGGAAACAAATCTTATCACCCATAGCTTTTAGTCATGCTGGTTGTGCATGATGGGATATGGGAAAGCTGGGGAATGCTGCTGTATATCACAACATTATATTTATTCATAGGTAGACATTTTGAATAATGCATGAGAATGATGAGGTAGATAGATAGAGCTTAAACATTGTAACTTTCTTTTTTTCTTTGAAAAAAGAGCTTGCTATTTCAAGTAATTCGTGTTAACCGTTCCTAGACTTCTTAAAGGTTTAAGTGCTGTGATCTTTTTTTCATTAAAAAAGCATTAGAAAATTGCAAGAAGAGCTTATTTGGGAGTGACTTGCATTCTGTTATTTCCACAGTCCTTAATATTTGATGAAGTTGACCTGTCAGATGCCAGTGTTGCTGAATCGAGCACAAAAAATGTCAACAACAGCTTCACGGTATGTTACCAGTAGACTTGACAACTACTAAAGCTGTGAGATTTTCATTTTGCCTTGAGAACACAAAGAAGAAAAAGTAAATTGGATAATACGTTGGAACAAAAATTCTTTAGAAACAATCTCAGAAATGTAGCACTCTGTGCACAGCAAAGTCAGTTTTGGCTGAAAAGTAGGATATAATAATAATAATCCGCTCAAATTATGTATTGGCTGTAATAGAGGATCATTAATATTAACATCATATAAGCATTAAGAAATGACCTCTCAGCTTACAGGATATGGGTAGCAATTGGGATTCAGTTCCACTGCTGTTGCTTCAATTTGTTGTCCATAAACACAAAACCATTCATATCCTTTGTTTAATGCATTTTCCAGAGTGCAAGATTGGGTGGTGTCTTTAAATCAGTTCTTGACTAGTAGTAGAAAGGAATATAAAGAAAACAGGGGAAGTAGACCATTTCTAATCCTCTAAGAGTATACTTATCTTCATGCCTTAGGCCCTTCTTTTCATTATTTGATGTGGACATTGGTTTCAGAAGGGAAAAGCAGAGTAGAAGGAGGTTTTGAAAAGCTACCTGCAAGAAGAAAAAGAAAGACTGTGTTGCAAATGAGATGGCTAGATGGGTAAGGGGAATTACTAAAAGCCACCATCAAAACCAGAGAAGAACAGCCAATCCTCTCTGTGCTTAGATGAAGAAGATTTACTAGGAAAAAAGTTGAAATGAGAACAAGAATTCTGACAAGTAGCTTTGCTTTCAAATGCAGAACCCACATATAGGCAACTTGCAGTTGTAACGTTTTGACTTTCTTCCTCCTACACTTTCAGGTAAGGGGGAAGATGCCAAGCACTTCTGAGAAGGTGGGCTGGATCTACACCTAGGTTTCATTTACATGGTGGTTACTAGCTGCATGATAGATGTGAAGATCTTCTATAGTGAGGTAGCCGTGAGGGTAGAGGGAGAGCTTTAACCGTTCCCTGCCCTTCTGTTCTTTTGATGTTGTGTTCTTTCCAGCTTGCCATACAGGTGATTGAGAAGCAGAGGAATGTGTGGTTAACGAATAAGGGAGGGGCAAACTACTTCTGTGTTGTTGCCTCACAGGCTACACAGATATTTACATGTGTTTGCCAGAAATCAAACTCATCTCCAAGGGCAAAGACAACTGGGATGTGCTTTGGATCTGAAGGCAACAAGTTGCTTCGGTGAGCAGGAGGTGCTCGTCTGAGTCTTGTCTTCAGTTCCTTAAAGCCAGGGTGTCTTTTTCCAAGACTGTGCAGATGTTCTCTGCAGCTACAGCACAATTCCAAGAAAGGGTACGTTTAGTTTAAGCTGCTCCATGTGTACCCCTGCACAGTGCAAGGCATTCCTCTAGCCCAAAACCATGTTCCACCTCTGATTTAAAGGAACAGCTCTACCTTCTGAAAAATAAGTCTTTTTCAGATAACTGGTTTCACTAGGAAGCCTTTGTTTGACCCAGAACTCTTGTGAAGGGGAGAAGAGTTTTAATTTTAGCAGCCAGGGGTCCCTCTGGGGTTTACTTGTCATTCAAAGGTGGATGCCCTATCTTTAAATGCCAATTTGTGCGTGGCTTGCTTCACAATTCACCCCAGTTCTCGGCTGTGGTAGGTAGACTATTCAATCAGCTTTTCTTCACCTGACTTCAGTGGAATGCTCACATACAGGAGGGAGAAGATTACATTTACTTGTTCCTAAGGAAATGTCACTAATGTAAATTAGCATTATTAAAAACTCACTAGAGTGGGTTTGTGCTTTTCTTAGATTTCAGTAGATTGATGTCATAACTAACAAAACTGTGTTGAATGACCTATATGATCGTCATCCTTATCAATCTCTCCTAGTTTATTATTTATCATAAGAAATTTCAGATGTTGTTGTTTTTTAATTCAAAATAGACATACAAATTAACAAGTCAGCTGAGCAGATTAAACAATAAGCAGGGATTAGATAAAGTTGGGTTCAACAATACCAGATTTTGAAAGAGAGGGTTTTTGCACCGCAAAAAATCTGGGCAACCTGTAGATAGCAGCAAAGAAGTGTAGAAAACTGTCAGGGGCGTCCACAGGGTGTGGTCAAAAAAGTCAAGATGGTAGCTAAAATGGTGTGACCAAAGCCCTGCCTGTGTTTTATGTGCAACGTTATTGGAAAGCTTTGATCTGTCCCACTTAAGTCAGCCTCTAATGAAAATTGGTCACACTGCCACGTCTCTGTCAATCCTGTCTGATGCTAAGATCTGTAGGGGTAGGCTACATGTTGGAAGGTTGTGTGAATGATGGTTTGAGTTTGCCTTCTTCATAATTGGAAGCAATTAAATTAAGAGGTGGGGCTTTCCTGTGGCTAAGTTAGCTTCTGTAGTGGTGACCCTACATTTTGAGCTGAGAAGGAAGCTGAGCTTCGGCCACCCAGGTGTTTGGTTTGGAAACCCTTTGTCTCTTTACTCACCCACTTCTTATCGCTGAAATCTAGTGCTGTCTACAGTTAAATATTGGATTGCATAAAATCATAGTCCTTTTCCTTGTTCAGCATCAATGGAACAGGGCCATTTCACCTGCTCCATGAAAGTACAGCCGTTCTGTTCTTTGCTTTATCAGATAACATGCAAAATCACTAGGCTAGTCTTTACAAAGCAAGTTCTGTTTCCATTGAAGAATCCTCTGCCTTCTGCTGCTTTGCCCTTTAATTTTTTACTCTGAGAACAGCTTTGTTCTTTTGTTCTCTGGACATGGGAAAAGTGCAGCTACCTTTTCTTCGCTCTAGAGCAAGTATCTCTGAAGCTGACGCCCATAGTACAAGTCTCAGCATGGCCATTGTATAGTCTCCTGCATCTGCTGGGAACTCCCAAGCTGGAGAACTTCAAACATCTAGTTCTTCCCAATGTGAGTACAATGATGAGGACCCAGATGCAACCTCATGTGGGCCCCCATTGCTCCTAAGAGGTTGCGTCAGGGTCCTCATCATTGCTTGAACTTCCGGCGTTTTGAGCTGTATCTGTTACTGCAGGAGCATCGACTAGGTGCCACCTTCTGTTTCAAGGGATTTCCTCCTGTTGGAGGATACGGCTGGCTTTCTTCATTTCTCAGCTCCTGCAAATTCGTGGGGCGGCAAGGCTTTGCAAAAGAGTCCTAGTACCAAAGGCCTATTATTCCAGCAGAAATGTGAAGTTCGATGCTGGGAATGCCACCAGCAATCTTACCTTTACTATTTTTTAAAAGACACAATGTGTATTTAGGATGAAAGAGAGAGGAGTGGGGGTAGGATGAGTCTCTGGCAAGCAAGTGGTGATTGGCTGAGAGTTCTTTCCTCCTGACCAGGAAGGACAAGGCAGATTAAGTGGGAGTTCTTGATAACTCTCTAAACCTGCAAACATGGAAAAGGGCCGGTCTTGTACTGTCTTAAAGTGTGCAAGTGTTGTTAAAGTGGAGTCAGAAGAGTTGGAAGACAGAGGCAGGGAATTTGGAAGGGCCCCAGAGTGAAGAGTTCCTATGGGTGGTAAATTTGCTCTGTAGGATAATCTGCATTCCATAAACATTTCCACATTGCTCTGAAGGTGCAAATCATATCCATCCACAAAAATCCTTTCTTGAAGCAACTATTCATACCACAACCTTTCCCAGAAGTGGTTCTGTTGGCCATAGACAAAGCACAGGTGTGTTACGTGTGTCTGCTAGGCCAGGTACACAGGATCACTTGTTGCCCTTTTTATATGCCTGTTGGATGGATATCCCAAAATGGATATGTCAAGGTGGCATACCGAGTGCTCCTTCCTCCCATTTTTCTCATTTGAGTTAAGTTGGGCAGACAGAGGGAGTAGCAAGTTCAGGGTCACTCTGTGAGTTTCCATGGTGGGGGGAGATGGCATTTCTTCAATATACTTGTTGACAGAAGTCCTAACCAAAGTCCTCCTTGTGGGCTTTTTTTCAGCACTTGGGTGTGGCTGAAGAAGAAAATCAGTAACATATAAGTAAAGGGTAGCAGAAGGGCTCCTATCTTTCTCTCTCCTTCTCTCTCTCTGAATGCAACAGATAATTAACTGGGAAACTGATTTGGTTGAACTCAGAGTACCGGCCTCCAACATCCCCAGAATTTCCAAGAATCCCATTAGGAAATTCTTAGCCAATAAAAAATGTGGTTGGCTTTCATTTAGTGTTTTATTTGGAAATGTACAGCACTGGTCTTCCTAGAAGAAAGGCCACCCCAAAGGTCTGTTGGGGTGGTAGAAAACATTCTGGCTGATGGGAAGTGACTGGTATTTTGTGCCTGGTTATGCTTCCTACAATAGCCATTTTGTGAAGAGGCAACTGTGCTTTGAAAGCTAAACTGGCTGGGGAAAAATTGAAGAGAAGCGGCGGTGCAGGCAGACGTGCAGAGACAGCTGGGAAGGGTTTTCAAAGGGTCAGCAAGAACCTTGCAAACAACATGGCTGCTTTAAAAGAGGTGCATCAAAGCCCTTCAGTTCATGGCAAAGAATCTGTTCCGAAGACTTCATGCAACCCTATTTGGTTTGATAACAGAGTGAATAATTGAGTGAATTATCCAGATTATTTTTTCCATCTCGAAGCAAGAAATATAGTTTAGTAGCATAGTCAATGTGTTTACTATTACGTACTTCAAAAAAAGGTGATCTGACAGCTTGCCTTTTTTTCTTCCTGTGTAATGAGACTTTCTACTCATTCGCTGATGTTCAGGAAAAGGAACTGATACTAAGGATGAAAAGGAGGCAGGAAATAGAAGGATGGGAGAGATCCTCCAATTTGTTTATATTAAAATGCCCAGGAGTTTCTGCTGTTTCCACGTGACTCTTGGGCTGTGTGTACTGAGTGAGCTTGTCTGATGTGTTAGTGCCATTTAGTGGAGAGCAGCAAAGACTGAACACTCTGCCAGAAAGATTGGGTAAGTCACAGGCAAGGAAGACCTCAGCAGAAGGTATTTTGCAAGATGCTCAACCAGATTTATAAAATAGAAATTGTTCTAGTGGACCTTTGCATGGAATTCTGATTCCGGAATAGCCTTCTGGAGATGTAAATAGATTATAGCGTCACTTAACCTTTCGGAGATGATGCCTCCAGTGAGGTATAGAAATGTAGTAAACGATGAATCTAACAAGGATAGGAAAGTATGTTCTGTGCTTCATGTTTTAAAACTGCTCCTTCTCAGAGTCAGAGATAAATATTGTTTATCCAATAATCCTGGGAAATTTCAGGCTGAGAAAATTGTGTCTGAATTTAAGGTCGGCAGGGTGAAGCGTCGTAATGTGAATGTTCTTCAATTCTAATAACTGACGGCTTTCCATCTGTCAAGTTGCACTGCATTTTGGTTAACGCTATAATGCCTTGTTACATGAATACATAGATAATTGTATACTTGTCAAATGCAGGGTATCAAGAAAGATTTATCTTTCTCAACGTCTTTGTTGCTTGTATGACACTGCCAATGTATAAAATTGGGGAAATGTTTTAAAACAAACCTGAAAAATATTCTGATTTTTCTCTCAGTGTACAAAAAGGTAATGCAGAACGGCAGGATAATTTTTTTTGCGGGGGGGTAATATACAAACACAAAACCTTTGAGTATCGTGGTTAGTGGGTTAATTTGCTCTTACAATGGTGATACAGGAGTGATCTCATTTATGTGTTAAATGAACAGAAGTTTCCTTATGTTCTGTTTGGATCTGCCTTCCCTTTAGCAATTTACAATCCTAACATAAGTTATCGCTTTCAGATAATAACCCCATTCAGGAGATTGATATTGTGTGCAGAGAATAGAAAAGAGATGGAAGATTGGATTAGTTCTCTGAAGTCTGTACAGTCCCGAGAACATTACGAGGTAAGGTGAACACTGCCCTTGGGACACCTTTTAAAAAATTTCAGTATTATCCATTTTTCAAGATGCAGAAAACAGGGAAGAAAAGGTGCATGTTCTTCATAAATCTGTGAAGCCCAAGCTGAGCATCGGGTTGATGTTCATATTTAGCCCGTTCTGCTTTTGCTTCAAGAGAACGAGAGTCTTATTTTTTTTGAAAGGTGAACTTCTCCAAAATCCGGCGATTGTAGGCCTTGTATGTCTTGTGCTTGGAAATCTGTCTTTAACTTCTTTATTAGGCGGCTCAGTTTAACGTGGAACATTTCTCAGGGATGCACAATTGGTATGCTTGTTCTCACGCAAGACCCACTTTCTGCAACGTGTGCCGCGAGAGCCTCTCTGGAGTTACTTCCCATGGTTTGTCCTGTGAAGGTAAATCAGCCCTTTCCCCTCCTTGTAATATTCAATAATTAAACCTGAAATGCAGAGTAAGAGCGCCTTATTTAAATAGAGCGGTAATGTCGCTAGCTTGAATCAGTGAATATCTTTGTTTTTATCCTCAACATTTTACCCTTGCTTTCTTGAATTGGTTAATGAATCTGCATTTCCAAGAAGCACTGACCTATGCCAATGCTAAATGTTACGTGCTGTGTTTGCTTTGGGACATTCAATACTTTGGTTTCAATATGTGTTTCAGGGAGTATTTGGACCAAGCTTGCCCCAAACTTGACCCCCTCCAGATGTGTTGGAATAAAGGCTCCATCTTCCTTCGTGAGGTTGGTCCTTGCTCTGCATGTCTGGAGGGTGCCAAGTTGGGGAAGGATAGTCTCGATGTGCCATTCTTGGGTGGGTTGAATGGAGAGGACCAAATCATATGGTTAAAAGATCTTTTAATGGAAGTACTTTTAACTGATGTGATTTGATTCTCTCCATCCACCCCAAAGTTTCCTGGAAAGCTTTCAGGTTTCATGATTAGGGTATTTGGTTTACCGTTGGCATGGTTTATAATCTGGTCTCCTGTGCTTTTCTGAAAGATCGTTGTCCAAGATTATTTTCTTTTTTCTCTCTCTACCATGCTGCCAATGTGAAATGAATCCAAGGGCACATTCATATGGGCTGTTTGCTCCATTCCAGAATTTTTTCTACAGTTTTGTATTCTCATGTTACCATTTTTGTTTAATGAGTGGAAGGATTTAGTTCTAGCTCAGCTGCTGTACTTCTGAAATTACCAAATATATATACATACCCATTTGCAGCCCTGAAACTTGCCAGATTTTGTGGGCTGTTCTGTTTTTCCCACTGGTAGGAGCTCTTGCTACAGCCAACTTTCCATTCTGTTGACAGGTCCTTAAAGGGGAAAGGTGGCTTAATACTTCAGTGGTCCTCTTTCATAGCAACTGCTTGGATTTTTGGGTGGGGGGCTATCACGAGACAAATGCTGTGATTCCACTTAAAAATAAAGCTGGTATTAATCTACCGTAGGCTGTTTGTTTCTTTTCAATTGTTCCCACATGCACAATAGCCCAGCCAGGGAGCTGGGGTGAAATTGACAAGCATTCAGCTTCTTTTCCTTTTTCTTTTGAGGAGTAAGACCTGGAATCTGCCTGGATTTATTTTCAGCAGCTCCCTTATAGTTGTGAGCAGCAAGGCTACTAGCATTTTCCTTTCTTTTTCTTTTATATTTGGGTTGGGTGGGTGTGATGGGTGAAGGATTTTCACTGCCTGCCTGTAAGCTAATTTATCTTTTCCTTTTCTCACACTATCAATCATAGCAACATATGATCAGGGTTATAGCCACTAGAGAAAATGTCCGGCTGTAATATTTCCAGTATACTATCCTTTAACCATCTTAGATAGCAATAGGCTTAGGCTTTTTAATTCATCAGAGGAATGGTGGCTTTGGAGGTTCAAAGCAACCCCCTTATTGTAGTTGCTCAGATTTGTTTGGCTTTTCAGTTAATAACAAAATTCACACGATATGTTCAAATCTGATTTGGGATAGACACTAGCAATTTGTTTTATTTCTTTTTCGCATGGAGCAAGAGAAGGAGAGGAGTTTTGTTTCTCCAGGGCCTGCAATAGCTAGGGGCAGGACATTGACTAAATGCAGGACATTGACTAAATTGACTATTGGTCAATTGAAGGAAAAGTACTATACTGGAAGTCCTTGCTTACCGACTGCCTCATTTAGCGACTGTTCAAAGTTACGATAGTGTAAAACAAAACAGCTTTGTGACCAATCCTTGCATTTACAACCATTGCAGCATCCCACAGTCATGTGATTACCATTTGCATGCTTTCCTATTGGCTTGGGACAAGCAGAGTTAATGGAGAACATGGAAGTAAAATCACAAGCCATAGTCACGTGATGTCTTGCTTAACGACCAAATGGGAAGTGACATCATAAATCCGTTGTGGTCACGTGATTTCCACTTAGTGACCGTGGTGCTTAGCGATGGAGTTGCCGGTCCCAATTGTGGTAGTTAAGCAAGGACTACCTGTACTAAGTGCCTGTGTGTTGTCTGTGCTCCCAGGTCTGCAGGAATGACAATGATCTTAAGACCACTTTCCAAACTCGCTTGGCAGGACTGAGAAGCTGTGTTGCTGTCTGGAAGTGTCTTAATACTTCCATTGACTGGGGATACCTGTAGCTGATACAGTTTGGTGGCCTGGTTCAGACAGAACAGAGTATCGTAGTTGGAATTAAACATGATTCTCCAGACAAAATAGGGAATTGCAATTAATTTGAAGTAGTAGCTTTCAGACCCAACTTTGTACATGCAGAGGGGAAAAGGAGGAGTGTTTTGACTTGCCAACCATCCTCTAGAGAATATGTACTCAGGGAGCGGTGTCTAATTAACATCTCATTTTTGCCGTAGGGGAAAATTCAGTTCAAAGGATATTTTGAATGAAGATATATCTTTTAGATATATCACATATAACAAGCTTTTCTAAGTAGGGAAACCACTCACCGTTTTTAAAGAATAAAGTACAAAACAGCAAGAAGAGATGGCATCATTTATAATGTGCAGTTTTCACCTCCAGGTATTTTTGTGTGGCGCAAGAGATTGTACCTTATCAGCATTCCAACCGTAAGATCTGCTCCAAAGGATCCCCCCAATCCTTTGATAATGGTATCTCTGTTACTGCTGAGCCAAAAGTAATTCCTGCTCTTACAAAGGCAGTTTCACATCCCACTAAGATCTTGGTAGATGTCCTTGGAGCTGAGACCCGCTGCCTGGCACTCACCTGCTCCAGCCCTGTTGGCAGGACTCTTCTTGTTCCAAATCAAATTCCACAGGAGCTCAGTCCCAAACTCCCAACTCCTCAAGGGAACATTTTGGACAGGAAAAACAGCCCCATTCTGAAGCATTATTGCATTCTTACAGACCAGGAAGAGCTCTGTATTTTTAGCCATCTCCTTTTGTTAAATGGCTCTAAAAACAATCAAAGAATCCAGGTGAATCCAGACACCAGTTCTCTCTTCTTGGATCTGCCCAAAGGATCGTGTGTGCTGACACTCTGCCCAACATTGGACCATAGTCCACTTGTTTCCAAACCCTTTGTGATCCTCACCTAATCCCCTTTCAGGTTTATTCTGGTGCCTGCCACATTTCAGTTTCTTCCCTTGGCAGACTTATTGCCCTGTCTTTTTACTTTGCACACTCAGAGGGAATGTTTTATCCTGATAAAACATTTGCAGACTCCAAAACCTGTTTTTTTCTCCACATTGCATAATCTGTTCCTTTTCTGGTATCACATTGTCTCTGTGAGTTCCTGGCATTGAAGCCAATGGCTGGGTATTTAAGTAGGGAACTTACAATTCAGGGGAAATTCCGGTTTAAACTCCAAGCCAACTAAAAGCATTTAGCCTCTTTTAATTCTAATGTTGAATTATGACACTCTAGCTCTGGCTTCAAAATAATGGTTTACTCTCCCACCAGTTCCACTGCAGCTTGTTCTCTGGAAATCCATTTTCTTGGCTTTTCCTAAACCACCTTTGGATTTCACAAAGATGTAACATGTTTGTACCCATTTAAGTTTGGAATGGAAGCCCTGCAGATGTTTTGAACTCCAGCTCTCATAGTTTTCAGTAGGGATGTCTCCCAGGTTGGGTATAAAATTAAAGATAGCAGCCTCGACCATGCAATGAAAGTCCAACCCCTTTTTATGTGGATAACATCTTGACTTATTTGACCCCTCTGTGGACTCCCCCAATCTGCAGTCCTCAAGAACACAAATCAGGGTTTAAAGAAGATGTGTTCCCAAAGGATTGAAGAATGCCAGTTGGCCAATTCTGCCGTAGAAGGTAATCTACCTGCAAGAGGTCCTTTTAAATCTATGACTAATCCAGAACATTTTTCTGAATCTTTTTTCTCTAGAGAAAAAAAAAGAAGCACTTTTTCTTCTTTCTGATCAGCTGATTTCAAAGCTGTAGTGAGATCATTGTCACCAGAATGTGAACTTCCCCTTATTGAGGCACGGTAATCAGACCGTTCTCCTCTTCTGCGACATTAATGTTGACTTCTTGCTGGGCCCATATAGTTGAAAGACTGAGCCAATTCTTCTTCAAGTGCATAAAAGCGCACGTCACCTTTTCTTTAGAAGCTCAGAGTGGCGCATGAAATGATTCTCCTCCAATTTGTCACTTTAGGAACAATCCTGTGAGTTAGTTTGGGCTGATAGAGAGCAAATAGCCTCAACTACTCAGTGAGCTTCCATAGCTGAAAATAGTCAAGAACTTGGGGACTCCAGTCGTAGTCCAGCACCTTCATCATCATGCCACTCTAGCTCTCTAAGTGAGACTGAATAGCAGGTTAAGTATTCAAGTGTTCAACTATTCAAGTAGCTATTCTTTAGCGCAGTGAATGTCACACAACTCTACTGGGGAAAAACAATCATGTTTTCCAATGTCTGGCTGTACGTGTATGAGGTTGTGCATGCGTGCAACTGAAGAATCCTGTGATTCATTCCAAGCACAATTCTTGTCAGTATATGAATTCTATTTGCAGGATTTTAAGCCCGGTTATATGTATTATTGGAAACAAAATAACATGCTTGGGCAATCCCAAGGCAACTGTTATGCTTCCTGACAAGTTAAAGTACAATTCCCAGGACTTGGATCTTGTCAGATAAATGCTTTTGCTTTTCTTTCTTTGGAATCAACAAAGGCATTTGGAGAAACAGCTGTTCTTGGAAAGCCACCAACTCAAAACTTCTGGGAAGCTGAATCGCACAGTGAAAAGCTTGCAAGCAACAGGCTTTCATTATGATAAATAATAATTATACAGGATTTGGCTAAGATTTGAAGAGGTTTACATCCATTGTTTGTGTAAGAGTACAGCTGCTACGCATCTTGGCTTTGTAAGGTGCCGTACAAAGAGACCATCTAGCAGCCTCTCCTTTGGCGGGAATCTTAATGCCTAACCAGGACTGAATAGAGCAGATACCACGCGTTTTGCTTGGGGGACACATTGTATAGATGACAACTAGCTTGACCCTTTTTGAGAACTTGGCTACAAGTTTCTGCTTAAGGAGTAATGCTGAAATAACTGTCTATGGAAAGATGTAGCTTCTGGATCAAGGACATAGCCTATCTGTCCTTTGAAATACGTCAGTTCACCAGTTCATGTATATTCAGGATTATGAAGGAGAGGAACTGGCACTTTTGCATCCTACAGAAGGGTCTGCAAATGACCTTATAATATGCCTAATATTTCTCCAGCCCCAAAAGCTGTGGGTTGGGATAGAAATTCCTTTCACTGCAAATACAGGTAGTCCTCTCTTACTGACCACTAATTCAGTGACCGTTTGAAGTTGTGACGGTGCTGAACAAGTGCTACCTATAACTGATCTTCAAAGTTCTGGCTGTCACGGCAACCCCGTAGTCATGCGATCACAATTCAGGCACTTGGCAACCCAGCTCGCACTTACGATGGTTGCAATGTCACATAGTCACATGATCGCCATTTGCGACCTTCTCTGCTCGCTTTCGACAAGCAAAGTCAATGTTTTGTCTACCCCTTGGCCTTCTTGTGTTTGCGCACAGCCTGCTCCGGGCTCCAAAGCCTTCCCTTGGCCTCCCCCATCCCACTCATGGTACCCCCCCATGGCAACCCCAAGCTCCTTACCTGGGACTCCCGCTGCTTCCTGCTTAATGACCCATGCCTCTTGGGGTTATGACGGCAATCAGGACTGCTGGGATTGTCACTGCTAAGTGATACGGTCACATGATGTCGTGCTTTTCGACTGTACCGCTTAGCAATGGCAATTCCAGTCCCAATTGCCATCGTAACCTGAGGACTACATGTAAATGTTTCTCCTTGCCTGCTTATCTTTAGAAATAGCAGAACTCCAACTTTATTTTTATTCTGGTGCTAAAGTGGAATCTGAAACGTACTATGTTGGTGTCATTTTGGCCGATATGTTCCTCTGGAGTGTCACTTGGGATCCATTGCTTGGTCAGTAGTTTGGCAGAGGTTGAAAGCAAATCCTTCTCCATAAAAAGAATGAAGTAGACATAACCCCAGTGGCATCTGAAGGAGGTGAAGGCAGAAAGTCAAGATGGAGGGAGCAGCATTGCAACTGAAGCCCCGCCCCTCCACCATCTTGAGTTTGTTTTACCTTCCCTGTGGATGCCACTGCCTAACTTTTATAGAAAAAGGGACAAAATAAGAGACAGCTAAATATTTGGGGTATTCGATCATTTTAAACAAAGATATCAGTGAAGATACAGACATTTGGTTAAGAAAGATTTTGTGAACATGAACGAATAACATTCAGAGTCTTTCTCAGGAACCTGTGTATGGTTTTTTATTTATTCCTTTTTCCTAGTATGCAAGTTCAAGGCTCACAAAAGATGTGCCGTTCGAGCAATAAATAATTGCAAATGGACAACGTTGACTTCAATTGGAAAAGATATAATTGAGGATGAAGATGGTGTAAGTATTTGTCTCACACAGAAAATCCCACACTTCACGTTTTGTTGAAAAACAATTGCCTGTCATAACAATTAGACAGGGTGAATTATAGCTAGCTGTGGGTCCTGTCTAACAAACTTGTTTTTAGCACATGATGTCCTGTTAAATTAGGTATGTAACTCTATCCCAAAGAAGTCCTTGAACTATTTTCAAGCAGGCACAAGGGAGCTACAGACTTCTATCTAGTGGGGTCAGGGTTTCTACAATAGCTTCATTCACAACTGCAGAAAGTGGCCAGATTTTAGGACCAATGCACCACTTGGTCTTGCAGTTCCAAAGAAAGAATATTGTTCCCATTGTTAGTGGGCAAGGATTATAGCGTGAGAAGCTGAGCAACACCATTGGTGAAAATGGTGAGGTATTGGTAACTGCAGAAATCCACACTATCTGTTCAGCTTCTTCTTTAAGGAATAGCTCTTTCTCCAGCCAACTTTGAAGCATGGTGGAAATCCTTGGGATCATCGTCATCATCATAGATTTGTAACCGACATTTTTTTTTTTATATAACTCAAGGCAGCGTACGTAATATTCCTGCCTCCTCTTTTCCCCTATGAGGTGGGTTGGGCTGAGAGAACATGACTGGCCCCAAGTCACCCAGCCAGCTTTCATGTCTAAGGGAGGACTAGAACTCATGGGTCTCTGGTTTCTAGCCCACTGCACCAAACTGGCGTCCTTTATTCCTTTGGTCCACCAGAAGGGAAAGCAGGGGAACAAAGTCCCTTGTGAGTGGACCTCTTTGGATCAGAGCTGAACAGTTTGAGGACAGACCAACAATAAGCATTGTGCCTGTAGGGATGAGATTTAAATCAAAAGGGATGGAAGCTGAACTTTCTTATTCCTCCTCCCCATTGACTCCAATAACCCTCCACTTTAGGTAGCTATGCCTCATCAGTGGTTAGAAGGCAATCTTCCAGTCAGTGCCAAATGTGCTGTGTGTGACAAAACCTGTGGAAGTGTTCTCCGCCTGCAGGATTGGAAGTGCCTTTGGTGTAAGACAATGGTAAGTTTAGACTGCGAGACTGCACTTTTCTGAATAGTGTTCTCCTGGATTGTGACAAGAAAGAAACTGGTCATAAAGCAGGGGCCTCTGCAGGGTGGTGTGGTAAAAAGGGTCAAGATGGTGGTTGTGACTGCATGTTTGAAGCCCCGCTCTTTTTTACGTGTGACACAACACACGTACAAAAGGAGTGGGACTCTAGTGGCTTGTTTGTGACCACCATCTTGACGTCTTTCCCCCCTCCAGTCAGATTCCCCTGCCATAAAGGCATTTCAACTCACTGTCTGCACTGAGCACAGATTTGCCTAAAGCTCTCAACTGCTTAAAAATCTGTCACTTTATCAGTCGTGCAGTTTTTATTAATTGCACAAAGGTCGGGCTTAATTTAAATACGCATATTGCCAAATCTCATTGGGGGGGTCATCTGCGGTTGCTGGGAACCTGCTGCTGACTGCTGAAGTTAAAACGACTTAAAATATAATATTTATTGATGAAGATCTTGCTCATGAAAATTGTTCTCATCCACTCATCAACTCTTATGCTACATCCCTCAGCTGTGTTCCTGCATTTTCAAAGAACTGTGATTTTAATTTAAATGCCTTTAATAAAGGAAATGGGGAAGAAACCCTGGAAGAGCCTTTAGATATTACAATAAACTATTATTTAGAAATTGGATGCAAGCTACTAGCCATACGCTGTTGCTTCAAAGCCTGTCAGCTGTCTGGTTTCCTTTTTTAGTTTCTGTGCCGTTCCTCATACTTAATTTAATTTAATTTAATTTAATTTAATTTAATTTAATTTAATTTAATTTA